AAGACCCAGGTACGGGGTGAGCGGTGCTCAGCGGGGTCCCAGGGGGGTTCCTACGGGGGTGCCCATCTCCCCGCGTCTCCCCGTCACGACTGGGTGGGCCTCCTGGGGCTGAGATGTGGCCGCACAGTGTGGTCCCCAGCCACCACGCTGGGCTCGCTGGCACGTCCATGCCATGCGGTACGTCCCCAACCAGCCCTGCGGTGTTCCCGGTCTGGGGACAAGGTGGTCCTGTCCCCTGCTCTGGGGCTGTACAGTGCCCTCTGCCTCTCTTCCAGCCTCTGAGCATCAACGGGGACAAGGAGTACCTGGAGGACCTGGACAGCCCCGGCACCTTCCCCTTGCCGCCCGTCATCGCCGTCACCCTGTGTCCCACACACGGTCGCGAGGATGCGGGGCCGCTGCCCCTCAAAGTCGACCTGGACAAGACCATCCTGTAGCGCTCCTGCCCCTCCCCGTCACCTCCACGCCACATCCCCACGCCACCTCCCCGTCCCCGACCCCACGGCATCGTCCCCGGTCCCGCTCCACTGCCCCTCTGGCTGCCCCACGTCCCCAGCTCCCGGAGGAGCATCTCCGGCTCTGGCACGGGAGGGACCGGGGGTACGATCTGGCTCTGTCCCGCTCTCCTCCCCAGGGATGGCCGCTGCGGAGGAGGCTCCCGGGAGCCAGGCAGCGGCTTTGCCTCCTCCGTAGATGTGCTGGGATCCTGGTTTCCAGTGCTCCAGAGCCAAAAGAGGAGCTGCCAGAGCGGGGAGGCTGGGGGGAGCCCGTCCTCATAGCGGGGCGGTCCGTCTCCTCCCGACCGGAGCCCCCGGGGCCCCGCAGCCCTCCGGGCATGGGTCCAGCGCTGGGCAGGAGGGAGCCGGCTGCGGTGGGGGATGGAGAGTGTCTGCAACGTTCTGGGCTTTGGCTCGGCACATCCCCGGCCTCCCACCTTGGGCTGAGCCTCCAAGGCGCCGTCTCCGGCCCTGGGAACTCCCTTCCGCCGGCCGGAGCCGATTGCCTTGGGGAGCCGAAACGTGGCGAATGGATTTGGCGTTGGCAGCCGGAGAGAGGAGCGGATCTCGCCGCCTCTGTGCCCACGCGAGGACCCAGCCGGCCCCTTCCCGGAGCTGCGGAGGGGCCCCGGCATGGCTCTGTCCCCTCCCTGCTCCGTGATGCCTTTTGGGGCGGCTGATGCCAATGGGTTGGGACTGGGACCAAGCAGGGGACGAGGCAGCGATTCCCTGCCTTGTGCTCCCGCCTTCTGTCCGAGCTCGGCCAGGAGGTGGGAGCTGCTGGGATTTCTCCATACTGGGCTCAGCATCCCTGCCCCATGCCAGGAGTGGCTCAGCCTGCGGGGCTGTAGCTGGTGGCAGGACCTGGTGGCAGCTCAGCCTCCGGGTCCTCGGGCTCGCAGCGCTGCCCTGGAAGCAGAGGGACAGCCCTGGGGTCTCCCAGCCAAGCAGGGACCCCCTTGGCTCGCCCTGACACAGCCCCTCAGCGTGGAGGGGTCCCCTCCCTCCCCGTGCTCTGCAGGGCTCCGCTCCCACGTGAGCTGGGGGAATCTCCCCCTCTCCCCATCGTTCTCCATCACTTGACTTTGTGCGTCGTTTCGTGGTTTGAGTTTCACCGGCATGTGGTTCCTCGGTCCCCGGCACCCCGCTGGGACACCCCTGCGCTCGGGAGGGATGGCTCGATGGCAGCGGTCCCTTCCATCCCCGAGTCCACCTAACACTTCTGTAAGATTAACTTATTACCCGCGACTCCCCACCCTTGGGTTTTTAGGCTCTTTCCTTGTGTCGGCTGCTCCCCGGCACTGAGCGGTTTCGGGGGACCACGGCGTGGTGGGGCAGGGGGCTCCTGTCCCCATCCCCGGCGGTTTTGTGCTGCTCCGTATCACTTTCACCTGTGCAACATATCTG